TGTGGTGTTGGAGGTGATAATGGTGATGGTGATCTTTGTGGTGTTGGAGGTGGTAATGGTGATGATGATGGTGATGTTGGTGATGTTGGTGATGGTGGAGGATCAAGTGGTGGCGACGGATTTGTTGGTGTGAATGAAGGTGATGATGGTGATGTTGGTGATGTTTGTGGAGGGGGTGCTAGTGGTGTTGGTAATTGTGATGGTGATGGTTGTGTTGGTTCTGATGGCTGTTGTTGCGATTGTGGTGATGGTGCTGGTTTTGGTGGTAGTTGAAATGATTTTGGTGATTGTGTTTTAGTTGGTAGTGCTGATGATGGTGGTGGTAGTTGTAGTAGTTGTGGTGGTAATTGTTATGATTGAATTGGTGGCGGTAATTGTGGTGGTGGTTGCAGTAGTGTTTTTGGTGCTGGTGATATTCGTAGTGGATGTGGTTGTTATTGTATTGATTTTGGTGATTGTGTTAGAGTTGGTAGTGATGATGATGGTCGTGGTAGTTTTAGTAGTTGTTGTGGTAATTGTTATGGTAGAGGTGGTGGCGGTAATTGTTGTAGTGGTGGCGGTAATGATTTTGGTGGTGGTGGTGGTGATCGTGATAGTCGTATGATGATTTTGGTGGTGGTTGTGATGGTTGTAGTGGTGGTAATTGTTGTTGTGGTGGTGCAAGTGATGGTGGTGGTGTTGGTGATACACAATATAGTTATAGTAGTTTTGGTGATGGCGGTGTTTGAAGTGGCGGTGGTGGTGTTTGATTTGGTGGTGGTAGTGGTGGTAGTGGTGGTGGTGGTGGTGATGATGGTAAAGGTGGTGGTGATGGTTGTGGTGATGGTAAAGGTGGTGGTGATGGTTGTGGTGATGGTAATGGTGATGGTGATGGTGATGGTGGGGGTGGTGGTTGTGGTGGTTGTGGTGATGGTAATGGTGATGGTGATGGTGATGGTGGGGGTGGTGGTGGTGTTGGTGATACACAATATAGTTATAGTAGTTTTGGTGATGGTGGTGTTTAAAGTGGCGGTGGTGGTGTTTGATTTGGTGGTTGTAGTGGTGGTAGTGGTGGTAGTGGTGGTAGTGGTGGGGGTGGTGGTTGTGGTGGTTGTGGTGATGGTGGTTGTGATTGTGATGGTGGTAATGGTGGTAGTGGTGGTGATGGTGATGTTGGTGGTGGTGGTGATGATGGTGGTGATGGTGGTGGGGGGGGGGGTGGGGGGTGGGGGGGGGGGGGGGGGGGTGGGGGTGGTGGGGGTGGTGGTAGTGGTGATGGTGTTGATGGTGGTAGTGGTAGTTTTGGTGGTGATGGTGATTATAGTGGTGATGGTGGTGAGGGGGGGGATGGTGGGAGGGGTAGTGGTGGTGGTGATGGGGTGTGTGATGTTGCTGGTGGTGGTGATGGTGTTGGTGATAGTGGTGGTGATGGTGGTGAGGATGATGGTGATGGTGGTGGGGGTGGTGGTTGTGGTGGTTGTGGTGATGGTGAAGGTGGTGGTGGTGGTGAGGGTGGTGATGGTGGTGGGGGTGGTGATGATGGTAAAGGGGGTGGGGATGGTTGTGGTGATGGTAATGGTGGTGGTGTTGTTAGTGGTGATGGTGATGGTAAAGGTGGGGGTGATGGTTGTGGTGATGGTGGTTGTGATTGTGATGGTGATGGTGGTGGTGGTAGTGGTGATGGTGGTGAGGGTGGTGATGGTGGTAGTGGTAGTGTTGGTGGTGATGGTGATGGTGGTGGTGGTGGTGATGGTGATTGTGATGGCGATGGTGGTGGTGGTGGTAGTGGTGATGGTGGTGATGGTGGTAGTGGTGGTGGTGGTGAAGGTGATGGTGGTGGTGATGGTGNATGGTGATGGTCAGGAAAGTGGTTATGGTGATGGTGATGATTGTGGTGATGGTGGTGGTGATGGTGGTGGTGGTGGTGGTGCTGATGATGGTGCTGATGATGATGGTGATGGTGGTGATGGTGATGATGGTGGTAATGGTGATGGTGATGGTGGTGGNGAAGTGGCGGTGGTGGTGTTTAACATGGTGTTGGTGTTTGATGCGGTGTTGGTGTTTGATGTGGTAATTGTGATTGTGATGGTGGTAATGGTGGTAGTGGTGGTGGTGGTGATGGTGATGGTGGTGATGGTGATGATGGTGATGATGATGGTGATGGTCATGGTGGTGGTGGTAGTGGTAGTGGTGGTGGTGGTGGTGGTGGTGGTGGTGGTGGTGGTGGTGTTGGAGGTGATGGTGATGGTCAGGAAAGTGGTTATGGTGATGGTGATGATTGTGGTGATGGTGGTGGTGATGGTGGTGGTGGTGGTGGTGATGATGATGGTGCTGATGATGATGGTGATGGTGGTGATGGTGATGATGGTGGTAATGGTGATGGTGATGGTGGTGGTGTTGTTAATGGTGATGGTGGTAATGGTTTTGGTAATGGTGATGGTAATGGGGATGGTGATGATGGGGGTAATGGTAATATTTAATTTGACTGTAATTGCGAGGCACGTCCCGTGTTGTTTTATGGTTTATCACTCGTGTTAAGAAGGCAAATGTAACAGGTTAACTTTAGCGAGGGCATTTATCTGACAACGGGCATAGGCACGCCCAACCTATTGCAAGTAACAAGACTTTATATAGCAGTTTTTGATCAGTCTAATTGTGTTAGAAATTCAATTAGCATTGATATATAAAGTATCAATCTATCTCAGACGCACCCATTGTTATAAATTGTCAAATGCACAAAATTT